CTCCCACCCCCACCCTGGCCTGGCCCCACCCACCCCACCTATATCCCTGTTCCACAGCGACTCTGACCTTGCCCTACCCATGCCACACCCACTTCGTCCTTCCCCCACCTATGCCTTGCCCACACCCGCCCTGATCTGGCCCCGCCGGTCTCACCTATGCACTACCCAAACCACACCCACCCCGGCTGAGCTCCACCCATCCCACTTGTGTCCCACCCACACCACACCTACCCTGGCCGAGCCCCGCCCGCCCACCTACCTATGCCCTGCCCACACCGTCCTGACCTAGCCACACACATCCCACCTGCACCCCACCGCAGCCACCCTGACTTTGCCCCGCCCACCCACCTACGCCCCGTCCACACCCACGCTCACCCAGCCTGCTGCAGGGGTGGGGGCTGCAGCACCCCAGCCCTGTAGGCAGACCCCAGTGCTGTCCCAGGTAGGTCTGCGCCCCACCTTGCCGCAAGCTGGAGGCTGAGCGCGGTGTTTCTCCCCAGGGAAGCAGCTGCCACCCTTTGCTAGCCGGTGGTGCTTCTCAAAGGAAGAGAAGATCGCTGTAAAACGAAAACCCCGAGGTAGCCTTTGCCTTCCCTGCAAAACGCCCCGCAGCTGGGCTCGGAGACTGGGCTTCCCGTGGGGCGGGAGACTTGGAATAAGAGCAGGAGCCCGCGGCCGGGCGGCAGGAGGGGCGTGGGAGGAGCACACAAGGGCGGGAACGCATGCGCGCACCTGCTGGCTGTGGGAGGCGCTCCGGGCACCGCGGGGCCTGGCACCCCAGGCTCGGGCGCTGCCTACGCGGCCTGCCAGGCCTCGCCCCCTCCCGCTCCAGCACGACCAGCTGGCGTTGGGAGAGGGGGCGTGCAGGGGAGGCAGGAGGGCAGAAAGGCTGGCTTCAGCCCTCAGGGTTGGGGTTGGTGGAGACAGAGGGTGCAAAGGAGCTCCAGGAACCAAAGAAGAACAAAGCGCACCGTCACTCAAAGCCCCAGACCTGGGACCCTGGAGAGGACCCGGGCTGCCAGACTAGACTGCCTCTCGGGGTGCGGGTGCAGGGCAGGGCGGAGGCCCAGGCCACACCCGCCCCGCCCTGGCCCGACACCGCCCGCACGCAGCACTGACCTGCCCCACTCCACATCCACTCCAGCCTCACCCGCCCACCCCCCTGCGCACT